CAGCCCAGCTCAGGCCAGCTCAGCGCAGCCCAGCTCAGCTCAGCCCAGCCCAGTCCAGTTCAGCCCAGCCCAGTTCAGCCCTGCTCAGCCCAGCTCAGCTCAGCCCAGCTCAGCCCAGCTCAGCACAGCTCAGCACAGCCCATTCCAGCTCAGCCCAGCCTAGCCCAGTTCAGCCCAGCTCAGCCTAGCCCAGCCCAGCTCAGTCTAGCTCAGCCCAGTTCAGCTCAGCTCAGCCCAGCTCAGCTCAGCCCAGCTCAGCCCAGCCCAGCTCAGCTCAGCCCTGCCCAGCCCAGCCCAGCCCAGCTCAGCTCAGCTCAGCCCAGCCCAGCTCAGCTCAGCCCAGCTCAGCTTAGTTCAGCCCAGCTCATCCCAGCCCAGGCCAGCCCAGTTCAGTCCAGCTCAGCCCAGTTCAACCCAGCTCAGCTCAGCCCAGCCCAGCTCAGCTCAGCCCAGCTCAGCTCAGTTCAGCACAGCACAGCCCAGCCCAGCTCAGCTCAGCCCAGCTCAGCTCAGTTCAGCACAGCACAGCCCAGCCCAGCCCAGCCCAGCTCAGCCCAGCTCAGTTCAGCTCAGCCCAGCCTAGCCCAGCTCAGCCCATTTCAGCCCAGCTCAGCCCAGCCCAGCCCAGCTCAGCCCAGTTCAGCCCAGCTCAGCCCAGTTCATCCCAGTTCAACCCAGCTAAGCTCAGCTGAGCCCAGTTCAGCTCAGCTCAGCACAGCCTGGCCCAGTTCAGCCCAGTTCAACCCTGTTCAGCCCAGCTCAGCTCAGCTAAGCCCATTTCAGCCCAGTTCAACCCAGCTCAGCCCAGTTCAGCCCATTCTACCCAGCCCAGCTCAGCGCAGCCAAGATCAGCCCAGCTCAGCCAGCCCATGTGTACAGCACCCTGATCTGTGTCTTCTGGGTCGATGGCCATCTGTCTTTCTCCTTCTTGTCTCTGTACTGGTACCTCACCTCCGCCCTCCCGCCCCAGGAGGCTGTAGTATGGCCTGGCTGTGGAGGAGCTGAGGCCTGATCAGCCTCTGGGACCCACCTGCTTAAGGCCGCCGGAGGGTCCAACACGGCTGGGAGAGGCCCACGCCCTTTGGCCGTGTGGCCATGCCCTGCTGGGCCCGTTGCCCGCCTGCCCAGAGGCGCTGGAGTAGGGAGGGAGAACCAGGCCTCGTCCAGGCCTGCTGATGGCCGTGTGGTCTCAGCCGACCCCTGCCCCGCTCTGGGCCATTTGCGCTGTGAGGTGAGGCCGATGCTGGGAAGGGACTGCGTGACGGTGTCTGGCCCACATCTGGGGGTCACTCACCCACTTCCTGTCCCGCCAGTTGCGGCCGTGTGCCTCCACGTCATGTCTGGTCTGTGGTCTGGCTGTGGCGGTACCAGGTGTGTGTGGCCTGGGCTGTGGGACCCCCAGGAGCTTGGCCGTGGCCTGAGGCCATGTGCATGCAGGCGGAGCCATGGTGGGGTGTGTCTCCATGGGGCGCCCACGGGGCTGGGCTGGGGGCCGAGGTGCAGAGGAGCAGAGGCCGAAGTAGGCAGAGTCAGGGGCTTAGGGTCCCTGAGGGAGAGATAGGCCCCGAGGTGCAGGTGAAGTGAGGGCCGCAGGGGAGGCTGCACAGGCCGGCAGGGGCGGGAGCCCCAAGGGACAGCCTCGCCAGAGTGACCGCAGTGAGCAGGCCCCACAGACCTTCAGGCCACAGGGCGGCTGTGAGGGTGGGGGGAGCTGCTCCCTCCTGGCCACGGCCAGGGACTGCCCCTCCTCCGCCAGCCTCAGCAGCCGCGGGGCCCTCGACTGAATCTGGACAGGGGTTGTGGGCCGCCCCCCACCCCCGCCTGGAGCCTGGAGTCCTGTGGGTCGGGGTGGCTGAGGGCCTGCCCCCGCCTGCATCCACCCAATTCTCTGTCCAGGGTTCTCCCACCCACGGGTCCTGCCGGCTGCCCAGCTGCTCGGCCCTCCCTGGTGCCCCTCAGGAGATGGCCCCTGCCCAGGCACAGGAGGGGCAGTGGGGCCTGCACCTGCTTTCACATGTTCATTCATTTTTTCACACCGAGAAGTTTCTGGAGCTACACACAGGCACCTATGGTCCCCTCCCGGGAAGGACACCATTGCGGGGAGAGCTGCAGGCAGGTGGAGGGGGAGAGATCAGCATTTCCCTGGGAGTGGGGTGGGCTCAGGATGGGAGTTGGGGCAGGTGGGCTGGGAGGGGGAGATGGAGGGAGGAAGGGGGGCCTGGGGCAGGGCACTGGGTGGGCAGACACACCTGGCTCGGTCAAGGGACTTCTGGGGTTTTATCACTGACCCTGGCACACTCACAGCATCGCCCACGAGGGGCACCTCCTCCCGGGCTGCTGGACTCCGGTCCACCCCACACCCGTCGCTCTCACAAGCACCAGCGGCGCCTGCATCGTTGTTGATTGGCCCTGAGGATCCTTCCTCTTGCCGGCCCGTGAGGTCCTGGGGCCCTGCAACTTCCGGGGGTCTGAAGCCCCGGTGTCCCCTGGAGCCGCCCTGAGGGAGCTGGAGGCGTGGGACTCGGGGTGAGTGCTGGGGCAGTGCCTGGCGGGAGTGGAGGAAGCAGAGGGCGGTGTGGGGCTGGGGGCCGCTCTCGCCTGAGGCCGGTGTCGCCCACGCAGACAGCACTGCCCTGCTGTGGGCACAGACGGGTGTGGAATGCGGGGCAGAAAGAAGAGCTTGGACTTGAGGCGGGTGGATGTGGGGTCTTGCATGACCTGATGGTCGCAGCCATTGGGGGAAGGGCCTGAGCCCAAGCGGACGCTCTTGTTAAGACCGATGAGCACCTCTGGGAGTCAGGGACTTGCCGAGCGCGGGTCCAGTTGGGAGGGAAGAGCCGGGACCGGGTGAGTCCTCCCCGGGTTTCTTCAGAAGGAGGAGGGGCCTCGGCTTGGCCAAGGCCGACTGGCTGGTTGTGAGTGTCCTGGGGCCGCGACGAAGGACCTCACACTGAGGGGCTTGAACCAACAGAAATTCAGTCTCGCACTCTGCAGCCAGACGCCCGAGATCCAGGTGTCCCAGGGTCCTGCTCCCGCCAGCAGCTTCAGGGGAGGGTCCTTCCTGCCCCCAGCCTCTGGTGGCCCCAGGTGTCCCAGGCATCACCCAGTCTCTGCCTCTGCCCTCATATGACCTCCTTCCCTGAGTCTGATCTCTCCTCCTCTGCCCCTTGTAAGGACGCTTCTCACTGGATTTAGGGCCACCTGGACAATCTCATCTTAAGATCCTTAACTTCAATCACATATGCAAAGATGCTTTGTCTGAACGGGATCACCTTCACGGGTTCCAGGGCTTAGGACGTGGACATAACTTCTGGGCCTGGGGGCACCATTCCGCCCTCTGTGGTGGGTTGATGAAGTAGAAAGAGGAGGAGGGGCGGAGGGGAGCCCGAGAAGGTGGGGTCCTGCTGCTGGGAGGGCGCGTGCGGCAGGGCTGCTGGGAGGGCGTGTGCGGCAGGGCTGCTGGGTCTCGAGCCCGGCTGGCCGGCTGGGATGCATCCTGCTTTTCTCTGCGGGCCTGCTCTTGGGCTGTGCTCCCACTGTGCCAGCCCCTCTAGGTGGGGTGACTGCCACTGTTCTCGGAGAGACAGAAGTGAGCGGTCCTGAAGTGGGATCTTAGTTCCCTGCCCAGGAATTGAACCCGGGTATCCTGGATGAAAGCCAGGAATCCTACCTGCTAGACCACCAGGGGCCGGAGGCTAGAAGGAAAGTTGCCCTGGCTCTTGCCCTGTTTGAAAGCAAGAATGTTTCAAGGAGGCAAAAACTAAAAACCAGGTATAAAGTTTCTTTTTTTTTTTTTAACATCTTTATTGGGGTATAATTGCTTTACAATGGTGTGTTAGTTTCTGCTGCATAACAAAGTGAATCAGTTATACATATACATATGTTCCCATATCTCTTCCCTCTTGCATCTCCCTCCCTCCCACTCTCCCTATCCCACCCCTCTAGGTGGTCACAAAGCACCAAGCTGGTCTCCCTGTGCTATGCGGCTGCTTCCCACTAGCTACAGAAGCACAGCACAACATGTGGGCTAGAGAATTAGCTTATTGAAGACAGGAGGAGGCAGAAATACTCACCTGGAGAGAGAGGGTGTGGGCGTCCTCCCCAATGAGAAGTGAAGGGGTGCTCGGCTCGTCTGTACAGCGCGGCTCTCCTGGATCTCTGTCTTCCTCTGGCCCATTACCTCGCCTCTTTTCCCACATCTGACCTGCCCTAGGGCCCTCCTGACAAGTGTGTATCTTTTTGACAAGAAAGATTCCAATGCGGGCTTCCCTGGTGGCGCAGTGGTTGGGAGTCCACCTGCCGATGCAGGGGACGCGGGTTCGTGCCCCGGTCCTGGAAGATCCCACATGCCGCGGAGCGGCTGGGCCCGTGGGCCATGGCCGCTGAGCCTGCGCGTCCGGAGCCTGTGCTCCACAACGGGAGAGGCCACAGCAGTGAGAGGCCCGCGTACCGCAAAAAAAAAAAAAAAAAAAGATTCCAACGCAAAGGCTAACGGGAAGTTTGACAACACATTATGGGCTGGCACGCCCTCCCTTTTCGACCCCCGAGGAGGCTTCCTGTGCATGTGCAGTTGGGGAGCTTTCCCTGACCTCAGGAGCGATAGACGTGGTTGTCTTATCTCTTTACTCCAGCAGGGCTCAGCTCCTGCCACTGACTTTGTCCTTGGAGCGCCAGGGGAAACAGAGCTCCATCTTCCTCTGCTTGGCGAGCTCCAGCTGCTCAGCCCAGGGGCCCATCTATCTCTTACTTCACCACCTTTCTTCCCGACTTGGGGAAGATGCACGTTGTCCGTGTGTGATGACGCCCAGCTTACAGGGGCCCACGTGGGCTGAGCCCTTGTTGCCCTCGTTCTGGATTCCATGGGTGATCTCATGATCCGGGGTGCAAGTCAGAGAAAGGGGACACTCAGCTCTGCCCCCGGGGGCTCCCAGCTCAGGAGATGGGAGGAAGGCCCCTGGACCTGGGCTTGAGAGAGCCATGCAGGTGGGGGCCGGTCTTGGGCCCTGGTTTCTGGAAACTGTGTGCGAGTCTGTGCAGGTATGAGTGTGTGAGTGTCGGTGTGAGGGGGCAGAGAAGAGCAGGGCTGTGCCCTTGACCTTGTGTGAAGTGCTCTACTGCTCCTCTCATGTTCTATTTGAACCAAACACTTGGGCTCTCTGGACAAGCCTCAGAGTTGCCCAGTTCTGGGTTTTCTATGCCCGATCTCCATAGGCTGCATGGTCCGTGTCGGAGTCCGTGGGACGCCTGGTCTCCCAGCACAGATGGTGGCTCTCAGAAGGGCCTTCGCCACAAGTGGACTCTTCTGTCAACAGAGTCTGGGCACTCGTATGCTGGGAAGGAGGCCACCGGGCCCTGAAGAATGGTCTTAACTGCTCACAGGTCCTCAAAGAGGCCAAGAGGGTCACTCACCGCCCCTAGTTTCCTCCTTATTGTACCTTTCCTAATAATTGAAACCTTTTCTTCCTGTTATTGGCCACCCGGTTTTTCCTTACGGTGTGGGACCCACTGCTCACGTTTCTTTCTTGTCATTGGTTGCTGAGTGCTCTTTGTATATGAAGGAGTCCTGCCCTGTGTCACATGTGCTCAAGTGCTCTGCCCCGTTTCAGAGCCCCTTGTGGGTGGGCTTTTCCAGCTCTTTACCCTCAGGAGGAGGCTCATCAGCCCATGCCCACCACTGTGCTTGGCCAGCCGGCCCTCTCCCTGGTGCCTATGGCTCCTGCCTGCGCGGCTCCCAGCTTTCTTCTCGAGGATGGTGGCGGCCAGCCCCAGACAGCTATTGCTTGTTCATCGGGACGTCTGGGCAGACTGGTGGGATGGGGCCTGAGGACTGGCCTGTCTGTGGGCGCTCAATGGGTGGACGGCTGGGTGATGACTGGGGCCTCAGGAGGCTGATGCTGGCCTCCACCCTGGTGCTTGTGCAGCTGTGTTCCTGCGGCCTCCTGCACTGACCACTGAATGAGCCCCTCAGGGTTTGCCCACGGGGATGGGGATTGTTGCCTTTACCTTCGTGTGGGGAGGGGTGGTGAGTCTGGGCTGGAGGCCAGTGGCGCAGGCGTAGTGGAGCCTGAACTGGGGTCTCTGTGGGCATTGAAGGACTCTTGAGGCGGAGCCTGGTTGGACACTTGGGTCCTCGGGGCCCAGAGCGGCCCTCTGCCCCCTTCCCTCTGGCCCCTTGTCCACGTCCTCGGCAGTGGGCACCTCCTGCTCCCAAGGTACCACAGGCACCTCCCCAAGGTACGCTCAGGTGGCAAGGGATTCTTTTTTTTTTTTTTTTTTGGCAGTATGTGGGCCTCTCACTGTTGTGGTCTCTCCCTTTGCGGAGCCCAGGCTCCGGACGCGCAGGCTCAGGGGCCATGGCTCACGGGCCCAGCCGCTCCGTGGCACGTGGGATCCTCCCAGACTGGGGCACGAACCCGTGTCCCCTGCATCGGCAGGTGGACTCTCAACCACTGCACCACCAGGGAAGCCCTGGCATGGGATTTTTCTATTTTTTTTTTTTTGCGGTACGCGGGCTTCTCTCTGCCGCGGCCTCTCTCGCTGCGGAGCACAGGCTCTGGACGCGCAGGCCCAGCGGCCATGGCTCATGGTCCCAGGTGCTCCGTGGCGTGTGGGATCCTCCAGGACTGGGGCACGAACCTGTATCCCCCGCATCGGCAGGCGGACTCTCAACCACTGCGCCACCAGGGAAGCCCCTGACATGGGATTCTTTAATGAACTTTACTAGGAAAAGTTAGGAGAGAGGTCGAACGAGGGCATGGGGGATGTGGGTGGGTGCTGCAGGGCTGATTTGGCCACACTGCGGACCCCTTGGGAAGCGCCTTCTGCTGTGGGACCCTGCCTCACAGCCTAGGGCCCTGCCTGCAGCCCTGGAAGCTCCCCTGGACCCTCCCCAGAAGGTCTTCTCTGCATCCTCATTCTGTACGAACGGGGCCTGGGGGTGGACAGCAGGGAGGGTGGGCAAGGGACAGGAGCAGGGCATGGGGGGCAGCCTACTTGGACCTGGGGGCACTGAGGGCAGGACTGAGCCTGGTGAGTGAGCCCTTGGCTTGGTTGGGCTGGGCTCAGACGCTGGATTGGGCTGGTTGGGACTCTGAGTCCTAGTTTTGGCTCTGGGCTCCAGCGTGGGCTGGGCCATGGGCTCAAGCCTGTCACTGAGTTTCAGGGGTTGGTCAGTCAGAACCGGTGTGGGCCCAAGCCCAGGGGCCTGGGAGAAGCCTGGGGTGGTCAGCACCCACGCCCAGCCCAGGTCTCTCTGTGGAGGGAACAGATGCTCTTCTGGGACTTGCCCCAAAGCGGGGTGGTGTGGGGCTGTGCTAGGCAGGCCCCCTGTTGCCTTCGACCTTGGGGCTGAGCTGGGGCCTCTTGGCGCCTGTGTGCTGGTCGCTGGGCCCCTGGCTCTGGCCCCTTGGGGGCTGGTCTGCTCCTTCCTCCGGCCCAGGGTCGAGCTGGCAGCCTCGGGGACGCTCATGTGGGGAGGGAAGAGGCAGGGCTGTGCGGTGCTCCTGTAGTCATGGGAAGCCTGCGGCTGCTTCTGCGGGACGGCAGCCAGGACCCACTTCACCTGGAGGACGGCGTGCGTGAGGGACTCTGTGCCCAGCCGAGGCTCTCCCTCTCTTGGGGCGCCCCGCCCTGGAACGGGGTGTCCGTGCCCACCTTGCAGAGAGTGACGGCAGCGCCGTAGCTCACGCTAAGCAGGAAGAGCGCCACGAAGGTTAGGAGGCCGGTCTGCATCCCCTCCAGCTCGTCGCTCTCGGCCTCCTCTGTGTACAGGTCCTCCAGGGCCAGCTCTGCGGGTGCCAGCCGGTCAGCCCCCTGGCCTCGGGGTCCGACGGGGAAGGACAGGCCTGGCCAGCCTTAGGGAGTCGAGGGGACCGGGCCTGGCGCCCTGGTCCTGGGCAGTCCCTCCGTCTGGCCCCTCTGCGACTGCCCAGAGCCACCAGCCGGACCTGGAGGGTTGGGGGGGTTGGAAGCCCCCGAGCTGGCCGGCGGCTGTGTGGGGCGGCGCTGTTCCCCTGCCCTCTGCTGTCCCTCCACTCTCGGGTGGCTGGCATTTTCTCTGCCACCGTTTCTCCGGCTTTTCTCCTGACGGCTGGTCGCCCCTCTCAGCCCCACGGGCCCCTCACCTCAGCTCCAGCTCTGCCCCACCCTGTCCCCTGCTCCGTGGCAGGCGGGGGCCCCCGGCCTGGGGAGCACCCACGTCCACCCACTGCATGGCCTGTGGCCGCCCAGTCCGGCCCCCTGGGCCCTGTTCTTGCTCGGCTCCGTTCTCGCCAGCCAGGGGGCCCCTTGAAGAGCACAGGCCGGCCTCCCTGCCTGGAGCCCTCAGGAGGGGGTCTGGACCCAGGAGGGCCCCTAGGGTAATCAGATCATCGCAGTGGGTGCCCCGAGGGCTGGGCCCGGCTGCACTTGCCCAGTGTGAGGGAGCCCAGAGCTGCCCCAGGCCTCTGGCTCCTCCTGTCCTGGGGCTGGGCCCCTTCCTTCCCCAGCACGGCCTCTGCTCTGGGCTCATGTTCAGGGTGTGGGCTGTGCATGTGCTGCTTTCTGTGTGGATGTGGTGGGTGCCTGTGTGCTGTCCATGTGTGTGTCTGTCCGTGTGTGTCCATGTGTGTGTACACGTGTGTCAGTATGTGTGTCTGTGTGTATTCATGTGTGTGGGTTCATGTCTGTGTCCCCGTGTGTCTGTGTCCATACGTGTCTGTGTATATCCATGTCTGTGTGTGTCAGAGTGTCCGTCCATGTGTATCAGTATGTGTCCATGTGTGTGTCCGTGTGTGTGTCCACACGCATGTGTCTCTGTGTGCCTGTGTCCATATGTCTGTGTGTATCCATGTGTGTGTCCATGTGTCTGTGTGTGTCTGTGCGTTCAGGTCTGTGTCTCCATGTGTCTGTGTCCATGTGTATCAGTGTCTGTGTCCATATGTGTCCGTGTATATCTGTGTCCATGTGTGTCAGTGTCTGTCCATGTGTGTCTGTTCACGTGTATCAGCATGTGTATCAGTGTGTGTTCATTTGTATGTGTTCATGTCTCTGTCTCCATGTGTCTGTGTCCATGTGTGTGTCCATGTGCATCAGTGTGTGTCTGCGTGTCCAACTGTCCATCTGTGGGGTGCAGCTGACAGGGAGGGCTTGGCTGCAGGAGGAAGCCATGTGGGGCGATGGGTGCGTCCAGGGGCCCAGGTATGACAGGGAAGGGTTTGGGAGTGGCCTGGGAGCTAGGGTGGGCCTCGGGAGGCCACCTGTGAGTGTGTGTGAGATGCTACCAGCGGTTGGCAGTGCCGTGTGACTTGGGTGGGTGTGGAGCCCTGGCACCAGCGGGCATGACAGTGTGAGGGTGCGTGTGAGGGCTGGGTGCTTGCCTGGACCGATTCAGGGTGGAGTGAGTCTGAGTGGCAAGATGGGGACACTGGGCTCCAGCCCTGGCCTGGTGTGACCACACAGGTAGGATGGAGGTCAGAAGGCAGGGGTCAGAGGAGTGGGCTCTGCACTGGCCCCTGTGCAGCGTTGGCCCATTTGTGCCCAGGAGGTGACAGTGGAGGGACCTGCGTGTTGGTGCCGGTGCGGGGGTCTGACTCGGCCCATTTCTCTACCTGGAGGGCCTGTGTGTGCAGCTGGACTTGGGAGCCTGGGGGCTTGTCTGTGTCCAGAGGGGCTGGCAGGAGGCTGGGGGTGGAGGCTGAGGCCTCCGGGAGCTCCAGGAGAGGCTGGCGTCTCTGTGGTCCCTCCCCTAGGACCACTCTCGGGCTCTTAGAGCTCCTTTGACTGGGTAGAGTCCATAGTGGGGTGGCGGGGAGGCCCTCTGACACAGACGTCGATGCTGGATGGAGCCGCGCCTCAGCCCTGGCCCCCACCCCCTGCCTCCCTTTCCTCTGTGCCAAGACACCGCTCCCTGCCCCACAGCTCCCCAAGGATGGGCACGCCCAGGGCTCTGAGCAGGCACTGGAGTGTTTATTGACAATGGACGGAAGGTCTGGCTGGTCCCCTCCCCCACCCCAGCAGGATGGAGCCCTGGGATGGGGGGAGTGGGGAGGCCGGGCGTCATTTACCGAGCTCGATGGACATGGATCTCTTGAGCGTCCTCGAGCCGGGCAGCGCCTCGTGCGCCACCTGGCAGGTGAATTCACTCTTCTGCTCCCAGTCGGCCCGCCTGACCACCAGGTGGCTGTAGACGAAATAGGCGGGGGAGCCGGGGGTGGGGCTGCGGACCTTGCGGGGCCTCGTGCTGGTGTGCTGGTCCGCCTGCATCAGGGCGCCATTCCGCAGCCACCGCACGGAGATGTCCACGGGAAAGAAGTTCTGGATCAGGCAGGTGAGGGTGGCCTCGCCCTTGGTCTTGAGCTCCTCCTTGGGTGGCGGGAACACGTAGACCTCGGGAACCATGCGCTCGCCTGCAGACAGGCATGCGGTCAGCCTGGCTCCACCTGGGGGCCCGCCCACCTGCCCTCAGCCTGCGGCTCACCAACGCCCTTCGAGATGGAGCGCAGGATCTCCTTGGGTAGGTGTGGGTGGGTCACTTTGCAGTAGTAGGTCTCGCCCTTAAGCCAGTCGCTGACATCCACCGGCAGGGTGGACGTGACGGTGACCGTCCCGTTGAACTCAGGCTTGGAGACAAGCGTGTCTGGATACACTAGATCCTTGTTCTCCCTGGACCAGGTCAGTTTAATGTCCTTTGTGCTGGCCAGGTCCACCACCAGGCAGGTGATCTTGGGTGACTTGTTGACGTACAGGTCGAGAGGCGTGGGTGGGCTCAGGTAGGCGCTCACGCCACGGGGCTCGGACTCAGCTGTGTGTGGGAAGGGGCTGAGTGAGGCTGAGTCTGCCCTCCTCTCTGAATCCCCAGCGGCTGGGTGTTGGCGTGGGCGAGGGCCATACCTGTGCACCTGCGGGCGTGGTTGTCGTAGGTGAAGCCATAATAGGTGACCCGGCAGGTGTAGGTGAGTTGGGACACCCACTGGCCCTGCGTGATGTTGAGCTCGCTAGAGGTGGAGGCCAGTTTGCCCTCCACCCTTTCGGGGCCAGTGTGTGGGAACACGTCTGTGGCCTCACGCCCGTCCACCAACCAGGTGACCTTGATTTTCCCTGGGGCGTAGCCGGAAATTAAGCACAGGAGCTGGATGGTGGTGTGGGTGTCGCCACGGGGGTCGCAGGAGGAGTAAAAGAGCTTCACAGTGGGGTCGGTGAAGTTCTTGGTGCACCCTGGCGGCAGAGGCAGCAGGAGTGGGGCTGGCCTCTCTGAGCCCCCAGCCCTTCCTCCCCGTCCCTCCCGCCCGGCCTCCGCCTCCCGCTCTGGCTGTCTCGCGGGCTGCCCAGGCATGGCTCACCAGTGACGGCCTTGGTGGTGGTGGTGTTGGACGCAGCATGGGCCACACTGCAGGTGAATTTCTGCTTGGACCACTCGCCCGAGACTGTCACCTGGCTGCTGGTGGTGTAGAGGCTGGAGTTCAAGTTTTGGATGGCAGGGAAGGTCAGCGTGCTCCTGTTCAGGGGTGCTGTGTCCCAGGTCATGGCCACTGGGCCCGGAAAGTAGCCTGTGGCCAGGCAGCCCAGCGCCACAGAGGTGGCGTTGGTGGCCCTTGTGCAGCAGGAGCGCAAGGGGTAGACGGACGGGCCGTGGATGGAGGCTGTGGGGACAGGACGGGGCTCAATGCTGGCCTCAGGACTGCCACCCGTATGTGCCAGGCTGACTGCTGGCTTTGGAGGGTGGGCTGTGGGCTGGAGGTGGGGAGGTCCAGTGCAGGGAACACCTGCCTGGGGGACAGATGGCTCCTCCTGGGTCCTTTCCTCATCTCCTGATGCCACTAGGGATGCCCTCCAGTGAATTCTGCAGAAGCAGCAGCTGTCACTGCCCTTGGCCAGGACTCCTGCCCTCAGCCCCAAGTGGGTGGACGCGGGGCTCCTGAGTGGAGGCGCTAACCCACTCCCTGAGGTGGAGGTTCAGAGCCCATAGCCCTCTGTCGGCACCCGGGGACCCAGGGAGAAGCCCCCGGCCCAGTAGTTACCAGGCTACTCTTCTGCCCCCACTCGTAGACCCCCATTGGAGATCAGGGACCCTGAGAACCTCAGTAGCCACCAGTCTGTCCCCTCTGCCCCACCCATAGCCCTGGGAACAGTGGCCTGGGAAACAGAGACCCCCAGCATCACCAAGCTGCTTTCCCACTCCTAACCCTAACTCAGACCCCCATCGGGGATCAGGGAGACCCCCAGGAACCATCAAGCTGGCCTTTCTGTTCCAAACCAAAGACCTCATAAGGGCCTGGGGATCCACAGGACCCCACTTCCCAGGAATCACCTTGTGTCCCCGCCCCACTCCAAAGTCCCTGTGGGCCTGCTGTGGGCAGATCCACCTGCCACCCACTGGACCCCTGCTACCTGCAGCCGTGGGTCAGCCTTCAGGTCCCTGAGCTGCTTTGCCATGGCTGCCCCTTCACCCCATCCTTCGGCTGACCAGCCCAGGCCCCCTGGTGCTCTACCGCCCTGCTGATCCCCCAGGGGAGCCCGATTACAGGCCCCATGGAGAGAGGACAAAGACTCCTCAGAGCCCTCCTCAGTCCCCCTCCTCAGCCCTTCTCAGGCTCCTCTGGTTTCCAGGCCTGTATGCATGTCCCCTGGCCTTGGAACTCCAGCCCCCAGCCCATCCCAGCTCTGCATCCCAGCTCGGTTCTTCCACCTTACTCTATTCTGCCGGCTAGCCCAGCTGAGCACAGCCCAGATGATCTTGTGTCAGGACAGCTGAGACCAGCTGAGACAAAGCAGCTCGCAAGTACGGCCCAGCACCCCTAACGAGTCCTGCGCATTTCAAGTCAGCTCAGCCCAGTTCATCCCAGTTCACCCCAGCTCAGCCCAGAGCAGCCTGCCTTGATCCAGCCTGGCCCACTTCAGCCCCTGACGTCCCATCTCAAGCAAAACAGCTCATCTGAGCTGCATCCACGTGGTTCATTTTAGTTCAGTTTAGCTGACTGAGCAAAGCTGGCCAGGATGACCCCACAGCCCACTCCACCCAGTTAATCCAGCTCAGCCCAGCCCAGTCCAGCCCAGCTCAACCCAATGTAGCCCTACTCAGCTCAGCCGAGCTCAGCCCAGCCCAGCTCAGCCCAGCTCAGCCCAGCTCAGCCCAGCCCAGCCTAACCTAGTTCAGCCCAGCTCAGCCCAGCCCAGCTCAGCCCAGCCCAGCCTAACTCAGTTCAGCCCAGTTCAGCCCAGCTCAGCCCAATTCCACCCAGTTCAGCTCAGCTCAGCCCAGTTCACTCCAGTTCACCCCAGCTCAGCCCAGCCCAGCTCAGCATAGTTCAGCTCAGCTCAGCCCAGTTCAGCCCACCTTAGCCCAGTTCAGCCCAGTTCAGCCCAGTTCAGCCCACCTTAGCCCAGTTCAGCTCAGTTCAGCCCAGTTCAGCTCAGCTCAGCCCAGTTCAGCTCAGCTCAGCCCAGTTCAACCCAGTTCAGCTCAGCCCAGTTCAGCCCAGTTCAGCTCAGCCCAGTTCAGCCCAGTTCAGCTCAGCTCAGCCCAGTTCCACCCAGTTCAGCCCAGCTCACCCAAGCCCAGTTCAACCCAGTTCATCCCTGCTCATCCCAGTTAATCTCAGTTCAGGCCAGCTTAGCCCAGTTCAGCCCAGTTTAACCCAGCTCAGCCCATCTCAGCCTAGTTCAGCCCAGCTCAGCTCAGCCAACCCTAGCTCTGCCCCACCCCTCCGGGGTAGGCAAGCTCAGCAGAGAAGAGCCCAGCCCAGTGCATTCAGCCCAGGTGAGCCCAGATTGCCCCTTTTATCCCACCTAACTACGCAAGTCGGGCCCCACTCAGCTGAGCCCAGTTTCTTCTGACAGCCCAGCTCAGTCCAGCAGAGTCCAGGTCTGCCTGGTTCACCTGAGGACAGCCCAGCTGAGCCAGCCTAGGAAGGCTGAGTCCTGAGCTCTGCTCAGCTGGAGCAGCCTGCTCCCTCCCTGTCTATCCGAAGCAGCCAGGTTCACGACAGCCCAGCTCACTTTAGCTCAGTGCACAGTCCCGCATGGCTGAGGACAGCCCTTCTGGCCAGTGTGGCCCAGCTGAGGCTGGGGTAGCTCATCTGCCTCCACATAACTCCATCCACTCAAGCCAAACTTGGCCCAGCCCAGCCCTGCCTGGCCTACCCTAGTCAGGCTGGCTCAGGCCAGCCCAGCTCAGGCCAGATGATGTGGGCCCAGGCCTGCCTGCCATGTTGGCCGGCCTAGGGACTGAGACCCGTTGCTTCCCCCTGACCCTGGGCTGGCCGTCACCGTCTTTACTGGTTGTAGGCAGATCCGCGCTCAGCCCGAGGTCCGTGCCCTGTGTGTGATTCTTGCCCTGGCCCTGACCTGTCTGAGATTCCCGGCTCCTTGGTCTTCTCCCGGTCGGCTTCGAGCGTTCTCTTACTTCCCTGTGTCCCCATGCAGGGAAGTGACAGCTGCAAAGCAAGCAGCGACCCAGAAGCTGGGTCCCCGCTGGGCAGGCAGCCCAGGTGTCCTCTCCCCGCAGTGGTCTTGGCAGCTCCAGCGGTGGGGTGCCTGAGGGGCTGTGGTCTTCTGTCAGGTGCCCGTGGCTGGTGTGGCCCATCTGGCCAGTGGTGGCTGTATGCAGGCTCCCAGGATAGGCTCCCAGATGAGGTGAATCGTTAGGAAGCGTTGCTGTTATTTTTATGTCCAGACGATAGGGCCTGGGGCAGGGCGGGGCAGGGGGGCGAGCTCTGCCTCAGTGCTCTCAGCTAAAAATGGGGTGGGAACCCCCAGGGGCCTCGGCAGCCCTGGAAGTTCCCTTCTCTCTCTCTGTTCTCGGGAAGTCGACCCAGCGACAGCCGGTCTCAGGTGAGGCTCCTCTCTGTGGCCTCTTCCCCGGCCTCTGCCACCCGGCTCATGACCTCTCCCTCGACGCCACGGGCTGACTTGGTGAGCAGCCGGCACACACTGTGGTCACCACGATGGCCCGGGAAGGGAGAGGGCACCAGGCACTGCCACCACTGCCCCCAAGGCAGCCCATGAGGGATGGTCCTGGCCGTTTTGTGCTTGAGAAGTTGAGGCCCACGTGGCCTAGGTGCCTGCAGCGGAGCGCGGGGCTTTCTGAGCAGCAGTCCGGGGGCCGGCCCGGTGGGGCGGCCCTGGGTACGAGTGTGAGAGGCTGTGGGTCCAGCTGGGTGTAGGCAGGTGCTAGTCCTCTGGTGGCTTCCTGGGCACCCTGCCGGCCGGCAGTCTCACCCGCTGTCTGCGAGCCAGCCTCCCGATCGCTGTCCTGCAGCTGGGCTCCCATCGGGGCTGCGACTGGGCTGAGTGGCCGGCAAGGGCTGGCAGGGGCCTGTCGGGAGGCGGGACATGGCTGTGAGCTTGGCAAGACCTCTGCAGCCACCGGACCCTGGGGTGTACCATGTCACCCTGTGCTGTTGCTGTCCATCAAGGTGTGGGGACCACAGAGTGGCCTTCGTAGAGGGGCCCACAGCATTCGACTGTGGTCTGTCGGGGCAGCCAGTCTACCATCGGCGCTCCACTGGCATGTGCTGAGCCAGGTGATGTGCTGAGCCTTGGCCTTGCCTCCGTGCTGTGGACGTGTCCTGCAGGCCGGTGTGTCCCTGGAACCCCCAAAAGGCCCAGATGCACACACAGGGGAGGCCACGAGAACTTGCAAGCTAGCTCATCAGCATGGGCTCCTGGGAGGTGACATGCAGTCTTTGGAGAGGGAGACAGCAGGACCACGTCCCCTGGGCCCAGGACACCCAGGGCCGCTGGTCTGCATGCAGGGAGGCTGTGCAGAGATGAGCTGTCAGGCCTGCATGCTCAGAGGAGTGTCCGGGCCTCTTGGAAGACCCAAGAGGGGCTGCTGGATGGGTGGGGAGGGGCCCCGTGTGCAGAGCCAGGGCCCCGAGGCCCCCAGGACAGATTTTCCTGGTCTGTCCCGCCCCACCCTTGGCCCCAGGGACAGATGCTGCATGGCAGGTGCAGGGGGAACGCCGAGTTCCCTGGAAGGGCTCAAGGTTCTGAGAGAAACCACAGGGCAGGCAGAGCCCCACCGGGGAGGCTTCTGCCAGGTGGTGCCCGGCCCTGCGGCCTGTACGGTGTGAGTGTGTGGGGCTGGGGGCTTGGCCCGGCACCCCTGCGCTTCCTGCCCAGCTGTGGGCATTCAAGGCTGAGGCCTTGTGCCCAGCCGGCCCCTCCCCCAGCTCTACCCCAGCACCCCAGGAGCCACCGGGCTGCCGGCTCAGGGGCAGGGAGGGTAGGGGGGATGCGTCCCTTGGTGCTAGAGGAGACTCGCTCCTGCGCCTGCTCAGCTGCAGGAAGTTAGATGGGACCTGGCCAGACAGCCTGGGACGGGTGGGCCTTCAGCCAAGGCAGTGTGAGGTCCCTCTGCGGCTGGGCCTCTGCGTACGGGCCTGTGGGGTAGCCAGGGGCCAATGCTGCCTCCGGCCAGTGTATTGCTTGGAGGGAAGGCCAAAAAAGCTGCAGATGTTTCTTCGACCTTTCCTGACCAGGACACTAACTGGGTGGCAGCGCTAGCCTCCAGATCCCTCAGACTCAGCCAGGGGCTCACTGCCCTCGGTACCCATGGTGGGGACTAGGGCCCAGAGTTCTCCTGGACAGTGAGACCAGCTGACCCCCTTGTTGCCCTTGGTTGTGGCCCCAAACATGGGCCCAAAGATGCTTCAATCCCCCCTCCCCGGCTTCCTTCCCCCAGGGTGGGCCTGGCTCCACTGCTGCCCGCTCCCTCTTGGGGCTGGCCCACCACCACCCAGGCCTCCAGACGTCCTTCACCCCAGGGAGGCCCCGCTTCTCCAGCTCCGTGCCTGCCTTCCCAGCAAGGGTGCTGCCATTACACTCTCTGCAGTGTGCAGTGCGTTGTCTCCCTTCTAATTTAAATGCTCCCATTACTAATGAGCTGGAGTATCTCTTCAGAGACTTGGGAGACATTTGGACGTCTGTCTCTGATCTCATCCTGCTTTCTGAAGATTTTCTTGGCGATTTCCTGGGAATTTGCAAGGCAGTCATCTCTAGGTGCTTGCCCCTTGCTAGTTTTAACCTCGGGATAAACTTCTCCCGGTCAATCCCCTGGTTGTTAATGCTGCTTATTGAGTCCTCCTTTAACAGAAATTCTTGATTTCCACGTGGCAGATTCATCAGCTATTTACCCTACAGCTTGCACGTTTGGAGGCTGCCATGTGAGCTTCCTGTGGCTGCAGTCACAAAGGCCCACAGACTTAGTGGCTTAAAACCACAGAAATGGACTCTCACATTCTGGAAGGCAAGAAATCCGAAAACAAGGTGTTGGCAGTGCCAAGCTGCCCTGAAGGCTCCAGGGCAGGGTCCTTCCTGCCTCTTCCAGCCCCTGCTGGCTATTGACAGCACCCCAATCTTCCCTCCATCTTCACGTGGCCATCTGCCCTGTGTGTCATCTTCTCCTGTTATAAGTCACTGGACTTACAATGCTTCTGAAATCTAGTGTGATCTAATCCCAAGGTCCTTAACCTAATTACATTTGCAGAGACCCTATATGCAGACAAGGTAACATTCTGAAGTTCTGGGTGGACATACATCCCACCAGGCTGTTGCTGTTCCTGTGCTCCGCCAGCCTTGCTGGTCCATTTCCTTTCAGCTATATTTAAAGTTAGCCTTTCAGATGTAAGTGTTTGATCCCAGCAGGCTCCACCACCACTCACCATGCATATGGTGTGGAGTAGAAACCCAGGTTGAAGGTCTCCACAGAAGAAGCCAGTTTCCCACCCATCTCAGAAGCTTTCCCGCTGCCTGAAGGCGCCACACTCATTGCAGTCCAAGTTCCTAGGAACGACCAGGCTGTTTCTGAGTGCTCTCCTATTCCTTGGGTCTGGTAGTCTGTGCATGAATACCATCCTTTTCAGTGATGGTTTTGTGTATGTGTTAACATTCAAGGGGACAGTCCCCCTGAAACCCCTCATCCTGTGCTTTTATTTTTCAAAATGGTCTAAGCTGTAAATGGATCTCACAAACAAACAAAGAAACGAACAAAACCAACCCAGCTGGAATTTTGGTTGGGAGTACACTGTATTTCTTAGTCTGGGACATAGATGACAATTTAATCTAACATGTCATTCCTTCCTTGACCAGTGTATCTCTCCAGCCGTTCAGATTTCTTTTATGTCCTTGAATAGAGTTCAATTTTTTTCTCAGAGGTCTTGGGCGTTCTTTCCCAGGTTATTCCTCCCATTGCTGTGACTTGTGCCTGGCTTTCTGTTACATTTTCTAGTAGGTTTTTGCTGACATAGAGGAACACAGCTGCTTTTGGTAAGTTGGTCTTGCATGGAAATTGTCCCGATTTTCTTGTTAGTTCTAACAGTTTGTCTGCTGATTGTGTTGGCTTTTCCTTGGAAATGATCACATCATCTACAAATAATACCTCCTTCACATCTTTCCTTTCCATCTTAACAGCCCTGTTTCTTTTTCTTGTCACGTAGCATTGGCCAGGACCTCCAATAATCTATTAAATAAACATTTTCCAAATTGTTTTGACCACAATCCTTGTAAAAAGAGTGTCTTATATTATAATCTAATTCACATACACACATTATTTATATGTAACATATATTATGTATATTTATTTATGTAACTGAAACAAAATTTTCATGAAAATATTTACCCTTGTTATGTACAATGCATAGACTTTTTTTCTTTGTTTATTAAAAAGAGCTGGCTGTAACTGTCTGATTTGATTTCACAATCCACAAATAGTTAAGCACATATCTGAAAAGCACTGCAAAATAGTGTGACAGAAGTGACAGGCGTCCTTGCTGTGTCCCTAATCTTATGGGAACACCTCTTAAAGTTTGGCTATCAAGTGTGTTCACTGTAGCTTTATTCCTTCTTTCCTACATTCTTTTGGATTAATAAGTACTTCTTAGTACTTATTAGTTAGTACTTAGTAAGTACTTTAAATACTTATTCCATTCTAACTTCTCTGGGGACTTCCCTGGTGGCTCAATGGTTAAGAATCGGCCTGTCAATGCAGGGGACGTGGGTTCAATCCCTGGTCCGGGACGATCCCACGTGCCACAGAGCAACTAAGCCCATGTGCCACAGCTACTGAGACTGTACTCTAGGGTCCATGCACCATAACTACTGAAGTCTGCTCACCTAGAGCCTGTGCTCTGCAACAAGAGAAGCCACCACAATGAGACACCCGTGCACCACAATGAATAGTAGACCCTGCTACTAGACCACATGTAGCAACGAAAAGAAGGCCCATGTGTAGCAATGAAGACCCAATGCAGCCAAATATAAGTAAATAAATAAATGTATAAAAAAAATAAAGGAAACGAAAGAGGCATGACAACTGAAACAACGTGTGATCTAGGATTTCCTTTTTCTTTTCTTTTCTTTTTTTTTTTTTGCAGTACGTGGGCCTCTCACTGTTGTGGCCTCTCCCGTCGCGGAGCACAGGCTCCGGACGCGCAGGCTCAGTGGCCGTGGCTCACGGGCCCAGCCGTGTATTTTTATTCCCTCCCTCAAAATTTTATGTTTTTCTGTTTTGTTTTGTGGTACACGGGCCTCTCACTGTTGTGGCCTGTCCCATTGTGGAGCACAGTCTCCGGATGCACAGGCTCAGCGGCCATGGCCCACGGGCCCAGCGGCTCCGCGGCTTGTGGGATCTTCCCGGACCGGGGCACGACCCCATGGCCCCTGCATCGGCAGGCGGACTCTCAACCACTGCGCCACCAGGGAAGCCCCTCTGTCGACTTTTTAGATAAGCCTCTTTGCATATGGATTCAGTGAATATAATGTGCATCCTGAAGTCATCACAATGAAGTTAGATTAAATAAATGACTACCTCACATAAGTCATTAGAGCCCTGAGAAAGTATAGTTTCATTTATGAACTCATCTTTTGTGCTACTGTCATATATGTTGCATCTGTACCTATTATAAACCCCACAACACACTGTTAATAATTTTTACTTTAAACAATCGATTATCTTTTTAAGAAACTAAGAGAGAAAAGATTAGTTTTTGCACTTGCATATTTGCCATCTCTGATGCCACCTTTCCATCCTGTAGATCAGAGTTTCCGTTTGGTGTCATTTCCTTTCAGCACAAAGATTCTCTGTTAGCCTTTCCTTTACTGCAGGTCTCTTGGAAATGCACTCCCTCGGTTTTTGTGTATCTAAAAATGTCTATTACATATTCATTTTGGAATGATATTTTCTCTGGATATAGAATTCTGGGTTGAAACTCCCCCCTTCTGTTGCTTCCTGGTCACCATTTTTTCCGATGAGAAGCCAGATGTAGTTTG